TGGTGCTGGTGTTGTTGGTGCTGGTGGCGGTAGTACTGGTGGTGGTGATGGTGGTGATGATGGTCATGATGATCATGATAATGACGACGAAGGTCATGATTCTGCCATGAGTTGTCCGGATTTGTCCGCACTGGTCAAAGAGTTAAAAACCAATCATCACGGTGATAAGAAAAGTTTAAATAGAAAAGTAAATAGAAAATAAAAGAACTACTCGACAAGAACTACCGGCCGGCAACAAAGACGGCTGCCACCGCGACCACTGCAACAACAACAGCGACAACAGCAAACCATCAATAACCAGAAGCGAATAAAGGCAAACAGTAGCAACTTAAGCTCTGATCTAGGCAATCGCGGCGCCAATGAGACACAGACACAGCAGCCGAAATGCGATAGTGGCAAGAAGGTTAACTCCAACCACCAGCACGAACACGAGGACGATGCAGACCAGAACTACCACCGCCTCCAGTAATCCTCACGAATACGGTATAGGCAGGTGAGATGATAGTTGCAAGAACAACGATCACAACAAAAGCAGTGATAAGTGTAAGACCAGCAGCTGGATTAGAATTGCAGAGTTGAGCGTTAGGGTTTTTAACATTTATGGTCTATGGTTTGAACATTTTCGGTTCAAGCTTTGAAGGGACCAGAAGGGGACATTAACATGCAAACAAACCCAACCTTGAAAGGCAAGGAGGCACACAGACACATGTGAGCTCAAATGCCCTTCCACACAATCGACGACCAGATAACAGTCAAACAAAATCGGGACGTGCTGCATCCAACCTGCATCAGCCCTCAACCCTATAAACCCCAAACCCTCAACCCGTAAGCCTAAACCCAAACCCCAAACCCGAGGCCGAAAGATCCGAAAATCTCCCCAAAAACTTGAAAAGCAAACCCACCCGGGTTGTTGGTAAGGAACTTAAATCACGTTACTACATTCGGGGATTTTATAGTCGAATGCAGGGTTTCCTAATTTTTGTAAGTGAGTCGAAGTTCCTTAACAGCAGCCCAGACACCAAGAGCAAGGAAGCCAGAACTGTCTGGTGCTTAGTAGGGAATTGGGGAATGGATCCCTATGATAGCCCCTTAAGGTTCCTTATAGTAGTCACTATAACCCATTCCCCCATTCCCAAACCCTAAACCCTAAACCCTAAACCTACTAAGCACTAGACAGAGAAGCCGTGCTCCGGGGGCCCCGACGTGGACCAGCCGTCATCATTCTCCGGCCTCGAGAGCCTTGGCATCTCCACAAGACCAGGGGGTGGGTTTAAGGGATAGGGTTCTGGGGGGTGGGGGTTTAGGGCTTAGGGTTTAGGGTTAGGGTTTAGGGGTTTAGGGTTTTGGGTTTCAGGGTTTAGGGTTTAGGGGCTTCTTAGCATGCATTCAGGGGTCCCCCCCTTTTTGGCGTTTTTTGTGGTTTTCCAAACACGGAGCCCATTGTTAGGGGTCTGATCCTGCGGAACCTACCTGTGCTTCAAAGTCCTACGCGGCAAGTTCCATACATCCTTGGGGGCTTAGGTCTTCCAACCCTAAACCCTAGGGTTTAGGGTTTAATTGGGGTTTAGGGTTTAGGGTTTAGGGTTTACGGTTTAGGGTTTAGGGTTTAGGGTTTAGGGTTTAGGGTTTAGGGTTTAGGGCTCTGAATCCTAAACCCTACCCAAGAGCTTTGCTGTACGTTGCTGTGGCTTTAGGGTGCTGGTGCTCTGGAAGGTCCACTTAAAGGATCATGGGACTAAGTAACTAAGGTTATTCTTAGGGAAACTATACTTATAACTACTTATAACCCCAATTGAGGTACTTATAGCTCATAACCATACTCACTAAGTCCCATGATCCTTTAAGTAGGGCTCCTGCGCCCAAAGACTCCAATACCCGTAACGCAGGAGTATGCCTTGAGCTTTTGAGGGAGTCTTTGTAGAAATTCTCTTCCTAAACCCTAAACCCTAAACCCTAAACCCTAAACCCTAAACCCTAAACCCTAAACCCTAAACCCTAAACTCCAAACCCAAGGTCCCTTTAACCCTAAACCCTAAACCCCGAACCCTAAGTAAGAGGCTTTGGAGTCTATGCTTTTGCAACAGACTAATGTAATGGCCTTCATAATTAGAAAAGTGTTTGGGGGCCCATTAAGCTAGAATTATAATAAGGAACCCCCAAAACCCTATTCTAATTATGAAGGCCCCTAAACCCTAAACCCTTATAGTAGCTCAAATAGAACCCTTTAAGCAACCCTTTTACAGGAACCCCTAAAACCCTATTCTAATTCTTAAGGCCCCTACATTAGAGGGCTGCCAGGGCCTCCTCAAGCTCTATCAGGGTGTACATGACATACTGAGTTCCCACACTCCTTCAAATCCAACCATGCCG